CCAATACTGAAAGACAACGGAAATCCAAAAGGCAACGAAGTATAGGATTTACAACCAAAAATGCCGAAAAACGGAATGCTGAATGGAAATCAGAAACGCCGAATTTCAACATGATACTGATTCAACCCTAATTCGTGTAACATCAGAAATCCGACACTTAATCAATTATTGGATTAGTTTTACTCAATCGGAACTCAAATAGCACCATATCGGAAGAAAACAGAAATCCGACTTATAAGTCCGAATACCGAATTGAACGGAAATGCCGAACTAAATAGAATACCGAAAAGGAACAAATTTTGCAACTTTGAACTCGATAGTACTTCAGCGCTGATTGGGAAGATTGAAGAACAATCTAATTCCTAACCAGACTTACCTTTGTGAGCAGATCCGTTTTATGGTCTGCTCCGATACCAAAACTGTTACATACTCCAATGAGTATGGGCAGAACCAAGAACCAACCAATGTAGGATGAGTATAGATGCAACGGAAGTCTGATAAACGGACTGACTCACATAGACTGACTCACATAGCATCACTCCACACACATACAATCGTGAGATGGTGGGGTCTGAGCCATACAGAGAGGATGCTCAGCCCCGTACACATCATACACAGATGAAAWKGGGGAGGAGAGACGAAGAGGTGSGGGGAGGTAGACAGCACCGAAAGTCACCGAGGTAGAATCTGATAGGTCACCGATATGGTAGTCCAAAATGTCATCCAACAAGATCAAAATGTCGAGGGCCATAGGTCACCAATGTCGRGGATACAGAGTCCAAATGTAACCSGTGTCTGAACTGTGATGTCGCCAAGTATCAACCCCAACGATCTCCAAGTCTCCAATCTGGTAAGTCCCACAGGCTCATACCACCGAAGTCCAACTCTGATCTCTGTCCAACTAGCATAAGTCTTCCATCTGAAGAAGAAGAAGAAGAAGAAGAAGAAGAAGAAGAAGAAGGAGTCGAGGAGGAGAGAGAGAGAGAGGGGACCAGTGATGGGAGGGAGGAGAGAAGCCTCCAACTCCCAGTACCTCAGGCGGCTATGGCCGCCGGTAACCCAGTCGCCGCTGCTGCTGCTCCGCTCGCTGCTGCTGCGCTAATCTGCGCTGCGCTGATCCTCGCTGCTCCTGCGCTAATCTTAGCGCCAGCGCTGTGTCGCGCTGTACCATACCGTACCGGTATAGTGCCGGTAGGTCGATGCCTCCAAGTGAGGCTGTACCGGTACTTTATACCGGTGGGGCAGAGGCCGGCCTCAATGCTGCGAGGCCTGGCCATGCCCTGAACCGTCCAGATGGACGGTTCAGCCCCAACCGGCGGGCRGCAGCCTCAAGAGCGCCGCCAGGCCCAAACGATAATGCCGTTTGGGCCTGCCCGTTGGGTACTGGTCCAAGATCAGGCCCTGAGGACCTGTATTATCCCAAGGTCGGGCCTTTAGGCCCTGATGTGTCCCTCTGGCCCTAAGTCGGGTCCGGTAGGACCCGTGTGCGTCGAAGATGTAACAGAAACACACATACAAGCTGGCCACAGCTTAAGCCAAAAGCAATGGCACCCAACATGTTCCGAAATGGTGGAACCTTGTATGATTGCAATGAGCAAACAAACATCATAACAGATCTTCGATACATAGAACTGCAGCAAATCCTCAACCATGTCTACAATCTCTAAGCAGAGGTAAGCAATCCTCAGAATAAGAGCTAAAAAATAGTAAAAATGGCAAATGCAGTCTCAATCATTGAAAAACTGGCGAACGAAGACAACGTACAAACAAACTTAACAAAGACGAATACTGGTCCTTAAATTTGCAAAACAGAATTCCAAACTCATAATCGCCCAAACAATGAGCCCTTCACATTGACTCAACGTAGAATGCACTGCCATTATCAGTGCTTGTTCTGCTCTCTCTCTCTCTCTCTCTTTCTCTCTCTCTCTCTCTCTCTCTCTCTCTCTCTCTCTCTCTCTCTCTCTCTCTCTCTTGTACAAGCTAGCAGCTATGTTTTCCATCTGTGGCTGCAAACTTTCTTTCCACCTGAGTCTTGGCCACAATAACACAATATCCTAATTGAAGCCTGCTACCTCTGAATGGCAGCACTTCCAAGCAGTTACGCAGCTCCAAGTAGCTCTGTTCAACCTTGAAAAAGAAGAAGGACATACAGTGGAAATGAAGTTGGATGAAATGGGGCAGGGTTGAGTGGGAATTGACTATTGATCCAATGACCCCAGACCCTGGACCTTGGGGACCACCTCTCTGTGAAGTCCCCGGCACGTAGAAAACAACAAAAGTGTACCTTTGCTGGCGATGAAAAGGATACCGGATAACTTTGACCGTCATGGCCACATGCTATCTTAGCCTCGAATAGTTCTACCCCAACAGGGCCAACACAGTAAAAGGTGATCCATATCTTGAAGCAAGCATGTAACATGTGAGTTACAATTCAAACACTGTCGGATAAGCACTGTTTAGTATGGAAAGAATTCCAAAGACATCGAAAACATGGAGGAGGACCCGGATTCGTAATACATACCGCCTCGTAAGACAGTGGCGACATCAGCCTGCAAGGCTTTGAGCTCCTGTGAGTCACAATTGAGTGCACAGACAAACCACAAGCGACATACATACATGCCCACCACGGCCCCCCCCACCCCACCAACCGAAAAAAAAATAGCACAAAGGCAGTAAGTGATGATTAAACCAAGATTGGGCCACATCTCCTTAGCAGGTACAAGTGTATGCGCCTCAAGGGCATTTCTCACACTGGAATATTTTCCGTGAACCTAAGCCATAAACATACTCAAACACATTGAAGAAATGTCCAAGTGTGAGTATGCCTTAAGAAATCTGCTTGAACGTCGAGCACAAACAAACAATATAACAATGGAAAGAAAGGATCAAAACACAAGTTGAATACCTCATTTTAGAAATCTCCAGGTGCCAAACTCACAAAGAAGTAATTCATCTGCTGACGTCAGCTTTTCATCTCAGAGCTAATGTAGTGAACCCCATTTTAGAAAATCACAATCTGGCCAGAGATGAACTCACGAGGCTCGAATCAACGATAGAAACGAAAGTGAGACAGCAATGGACCACAAGAATATGAAGATCAGGAGCAAGATGAACTCATGAGGCTCAAATCAACGACAAAAACGAAAATGAGACAACAATGAACCACAAGAGTCTGAAGATCAAGAGCAAGAGCATGAAAATAGCTTTAAAAGCATACAAATAGAAACAAATAGTACAGAATTCAACAAAAAGAAAAACTCATATGGCAGAAGCCCTGTGACATCACTGCAATCAGACTCGTTCTCAAACACACTTTTCATGCATGTAAACAGCAACGCAGCATACTGGCGACATGCGCCCACTCAAAACTCAGAGATATGGCTTTCAGATACGAGTTCACTCTCAATTGGCTATGGCGACTTCAGCGCCCAAACATCTCACTGTTCACATAACCTGGATCACCCTGGATATCCCACACGCGTCACTCTAACACTCGAACACACACACACACTCGGTACTGACTACAGCTATGGCAGCTATCGCCGCATCTAACCTATCGCTATGCTAACTCCCTCTCTCTTGCCCACTGCGTCCTCCAGGCTCATCTGCAGACCTCCTTGCACAAGTCGCTGTGGCAGCGCTTCTGCATGGCTCACGCAGGAATGAATGAATGGCTGGGCGCTGCCTCTTGATTTATACTTCAGAAACTCGTTGGTCTGCCCTTTACMATCGGCCCTTGGTGCTCACAGTCCCCCTGTGGTACTTGCTGGACCGGACTGGGACTGACTGGACCTTCCGCTGACTGACCGCTATCCTGCCGACGTTGTACTGCTGTTGCACTGCGGTTTAGTCCACCACTTGCCTCGCCACTTGACCACTTGCCCACTTGCCTACCTTCTAGAAGGTCTACAGCTAAGCTTCCAGAACTCACTAAGACTTCTACACTATAGACCTACAGATCGAGCCCCTACTGCCTATGGACCTACGACAGACCCACCAACTATCTGCGAATATACAGGTGAGGTCTAGGGATCGAACCCTGGGTACTGCATCCGCTACTGCTAAAAGGTGAAAACCGTTTCATAACTGCATAACTACCAGGCAAGGGCGCAGTCATCATCATGCCTGAGTCTCGATGGTCCACTTTGCCTGTCCCTGGGCTATGGACTAGGGAACTGTTCTGCCATCAGGGCCTACGCGAGCTGCAGTTTTCTGGTCCTAAATGTCCGACCTGGGAATATCATGTTAACCAGTGACAACGACAGGGGCCATCTCCCTGCATCCTGGTCCTCCCTTACTTGTCAACTCTATTAACCATGCGCTGTTCGCAAGAATGTGTTAATCAAAATGAAAGGATTCACACATTTCAGCAAAAAAGTCCAGATCTGGTCCTAAAAGTCCCGGAGTCCCATATAGCATAGTCCAATCCGGTATGTCCTGTAGGTCCCATCCGTCCAGTAGGTCCAGTAGGTTAGGAAAACTGGTGGACCTAGTTCGTTACTGGTCTGCAGTCTGTCCTTCTGTCAGTCCAATTGCAGCCTAGTTCCGGGGAAGTCGATGAAAACTCCGGATATATCGTAAGCTGACTACGTCAGGCAAGGAAGGGTATCGAGTACAACAGTCCGGCAGCAGCCAAGCGTCAACACAATTTGCATGCATCAAGCAAGGCACGAATGTCATGGAAGCGCTGTTGTGTGATCAAGCATTGAGCAATGCCTGAAGTAGACGGTAGCCGACGGCACCTGGCACTGAAGCTTAGGGGAGCGAGAGAGAGAGAGAGAGAGAGAGAGAGAGAGAGAGAGAGAGAGAGAGAGAGAGAGAGAGAGAGAGAGAGAGAGAGAGAGAGAGAGAGNGAGAGAGAGAGAGAGAGAGAGAGAGAGAGAGAGAGAGAGAGAGAGAGAGAGAGAGAGAGAGAGACATACCTGTTCAAGTTGAACAGCAGCCAAATCCACCTGAGTGCAGGGTGGGAACATGGAACCACTGCAAGAAGATCAAAACCTTACGGAACAAAACAAGAAAAAGCTACAAAACTTGCTCAAAAGCCTGCAGATATCTACTGGATGATAAGAAAAGACATACAAAAAGGAAGATAAATCACCTACATAGATTTGCAGAAGCAGGATCAGTATCTCACATACCTCAATAGCCTTTTCTGCATTGCTCTCTGTGATGACTCCCACTGCAGCATTTGCCAGGAGAATGAGCAAAATGACCTGCAGATTGAAGAGACATACACAGCAACATATTGAAAATAATGAAAAGAAGATTATTCATCATTATTCTAAATTCTAACAGACAATGTATGGTATCCGTTAAAAAGAAAAATAGTAACAGTTTACCCACACCGGCATTTACCAAAGTGATAAAAATCAAACCGGCATTTACCAAACGTAGGGAACAATATATGCATTTCCGTTTTTGTTGTCAATCCTGGTGCCGGTAGTTGACATTGAAAATAGAGCTCAGCTGGGGAAAGGTAGAGCGGGATTCAAAAGCCAGCCAAAAACCCAACCGGCCAGGATTTGCAGATGCCAGGAACCAAGCAATGAGAACACCAATATTCCAGCTTGCAAAATCTCACAGAAGATCAAACATGACTGAGCCAAGTTGAAAGCAGAAAACAAAAGCGACATGCACATCAATTAGGAGCAAACAAAGCCCCAATGTCTCTTCATAAAGAACCCATCCGCCTCCAAACATCAATAGAACAACAATTTAGTAGCCCTATTTGGGGAATGCCTGCCCCACTCTACTTCCAACTACCTCTACTCATGCTATAACTTCCATCACCACTCTGCTTCCTACTATCTCTACTCATGCTACCCACTACTACCACTCTTGCTGTCCACCTGCCACTCTCCCAATGCTGCTTGAAGATTGTTCATACAGGCTTCCTCATTCAACAGCAGGTAAGAACCTGCCAGGCCCACTGCCTGCCTTCTTCCCTACCTCCACACTACACCACTTAGCTTCCCTGCATCCAGCTATGGTCGCATGCAGTTGCTCTCCTACTTCGGGCACTGCTTCAATGCTCACTGCGAACAGCATTCACGCCATGCTCCCAATGCTGCTTGAAGACTGTTCATACAGGCTTCCTCATTCAGCAGCAGGTAAGAACCTGCCAGGCCCACTGCCTGCCTTCTTCCCTACCTCCACACTACACCACTTAGCTTCCCTGCATCCAGCTATGGTTGCATGCAGTTGCTCTCCTACTTCGGGCAATGCTTCAATGCTCACTGCGAACAGCGCTCACGCCATGCACCCACATGCCTTTGCCTGGCGGCCTCGAGACTTTTGTGCTGGAGAGGAGGCTGCGTCCAGACCCAATAGGGAATGCCTGCAGCCTTGGGACTGTGTCCAGGTCCCGGCCTCTGGAACTAACTCACAGGCTGGGCTTACCGGTTAGTTACACAGGGCGGCACCTCTCATCACCAAACCCAAGGACCCCCTCGCCGGCCTTCACTTAGGGTCGGCATGAATTCTCCAGGCCCACCTTCACTTAAGGTTCCCTGAGCTCTTTTCCAGCGGCAACCTGAGCCGCAGAGGCCTGGACCCTCACAAAGATAGTAGGCAATCAACATCCTTTCCTTTGCTGTAAGCTCCTGCAGCAAAGTGCCAACCGATTTTCTTTCTGGCGTACACTGACCCCGTTCCTCAAAGCAAAAACAGAGCATTCAATCATCTGCCCAGCTTCAATATCGGTTTGGTAACTTGACTTCTTACTTTTTTTCTGCTCCTGAATCTCTGACCTCCCTCCAACTAAGTTCCATTTTCACAATATCCCTTGCTCCCGTCAAGCATGCATAAGTTCAAATGCTTCCTTCCCTCCATCTATTGGCACACAATTGTTTCAAGAGCATCTTCAGAGTTGTCCTTCTGCTGCGTTCGAAAATGTTCGCTTCCAGAGAGTGAGAGAGTGCAGACGATTGATGAAAAGGCCTGCTGGGAAGGAGGTGTCAGTCAGCAGCGAATGACAAGATATGTTATTCTCTTACGACCAAAAGGAGAGAGTGGGAAGTGGGGCTAAGTGGGGGAACAGAGGGGAAAGGGAAAGGGGCGGGGCGAAGGAGAAGTGGGAGGGAGCTTCTTTAAAAGTATGTTAGTTCTATTACGAAGAAAAAGACAGAGGGGGAAGGGGGGGCCAGGGGGAGGAACAGCGGGGGCGGGGGCGGTGGAGGAGGGGGGGAGCAAACTTGAAACAAAGGGCGCATATTTACCAAGGGCTCCACAAATGCACTGTAGCCATCCTCGCCCCCAAAGATGGCAAGTAAGAACGAGATGATGGCTGCTCCAATCAGAATCTTCACAAGGAGATCATCAAACTGCTTCAAACAGAGCTTCCAGAAAGGCGTACCTATCACATCACCAAGTCAACAACCATGTCACCCAAAGCAGGAGGATTAGTCTGAAATGAGCACAGCTTTCTGTATTAGCAGAGTGGAACCATTGCAGCCTAACATCCAGTTTGTCCTCAAACCATGGCGCTACGATCCGGACCACCGGACAGGGATCCGGACCTTCTGTGGTCCGGGGTCCAGGGTCCGGGTCCGGATCTTGGTCCGGATGTGAGGGCCCCAGCCCAATGACAAAAAAAAATTTGGGTGCTCCAGGGCGTTTCTTCACGCCCTGGGCCGCCCCCAAAAAATAGTGCCTTATTTTTTACCACTCTCGCCGACGATCCAGACAGCCCGTAAAGTCCACGAGGGGGTTTCTCCATACTATTTCAAAGGGTCATACAGCCTACTGAGTAGGACCCTACGTCAAGCAGACGTACAACTCAACTTGTACTTTGTAAGCGTGGGGCCGTGGGCAGAGAATATATAGTCTGGGTTCGAATTCAGGTCTGTGCGTCTCGGTTATGGGTCACTATTTCTCTGTTTTCTCGTTTTCTTTTCTTTTCTCGTTTTTATTTTCTTTTCTCGTTTTTCTTTTTCTTTTCTTAGGAATACGTGCAGTGGCCCTAAGGGCCTCAACTCACCAAATGCACAAAAGACAAAACTTATGGTGGCGTATTATTCCACGTTCTGCAGAAGATTCATTCTAGTTTGCACATTTCGTGAGTAGTGCAGCCAAGCCCTGAGAGTCACGTGCAGAGACCAACAGGGCCTAGCTACGAGAGCAACCCATAACTGCTGAAACACAGACCTGAACTCGAATCTTGAGTATATATTCGGCCAGCTCGTGCCCTGTTTCATATTCACTGCCTGTGTGGGGGGGACTGTGCTACATGGCTGCGACCCTTCAGATAGCTTGCATGGGCTGTCTGATCCGTGTTAAGGGGATCCTTTGCTCTCTCTCTCTCTCTCTCTCTCTCTCTCTCTCTCTCTCTCCCCCCCCGCCCTGTTTGGACACGCACCCCTTACAAAAAAAAAAAAAAAAAGATAGTGCGTATGTGCCACATCCCTAATTTGTGCATGGCCCAGCTAGGCCCTGTGTACACACACACCCCTTACACCACAGCTACGACGAGGAGGAGAGGGAGGAGCAGGAGGAGAACTAGAGGAGGATGAGACAGGAGGCAAAGTTCATGACGAGGAGGAGTGGGAGTACAGGCGTTTTCTTTTTTCTTTTTTTTTTTTCCTTTTTTTTTCCCCTTCCCGGACAATATAGGGGATCCGGACTGGAATCCGGACAGGGGTCCAGCTCGGTCCGGATATTCCGGAATTTTCCGGTTTTCCGGAAGCCCGGAAGGGCCCGGGAGGTCCGGGGTCCGGATTCGGTCCGGTGTCCGGTCCGGCGTAGCTATGCCTCAAACAACCCCCGCCCCAATAAACACTGCATGTTCAAACGTAGGTGGTGGACGCCCCAAATTAACATCAGGTACTTCGCCTAAGCGAGTGGTTGAGTCATGGTGCTTTGAGCGGTTACAATCTGTCTGAAAGTGGGTTCGATCTGCTCCCTTCTATTTTCCATCCGACTCGACTCTTCCTCCCCTGAGAAGGGAATTTCTATGAGCGTATTAATTAATCCGCTAATTACGATTCTTTTTATTCTGCAATCGCACTAGACAACACATCAACGACTCATGCCAACTCAGACAGCTGCCTCACACGAAAAATTAACCCTCGTGCGGCCGCCCCACATGAGATACTAACCCTCAGACCTAAGCACATGGGCTCGAGCGCGCAATTGGTCGTGGGATAAACTATGAGGTGATAAACACACGAATAGAGTTAATAAAAATTCAACAACCCACACAATACGAACACTACGACGACGACTTACACAGGATCAAGACAGAAACAACACACCAACAACGACATCAAACAAAGAGAACCACACCAGAAATACTTTTGCGAGAGTCAACTGAACGTACGATCTCTTTATGATCATATCTCCTCAGGAGCCGTACATCCTACTGCAATGTTGAAGACCTCAGACACATAATGCAGTGCAACTCGGCAGAAATTTCAACCCAGAAACAGAACCGCTCCCCCCCAACCCCACCCACCCCGCACGACACCTCATGCCCTCATGCCAAAGGATAGATAATATGACCTGGAGACAAGGCAACCAAAGAAGTTGACCTTCCCGCCTTTCATTTTTGTATCTGGATAGGTTTCGCATTGGCTTCTATTGGACGTTTCCAAAGTTCAATATGTCGGCTTTACTAACAACTGAACTGCCATTAATTGTCAGAGTAAAATGATTTATTTGAAAATCGAACTCGCCTACCTATCTAGCCACAAACTGACCCATCCACCTACCTATCTACCTGCAATCTATCACCCATGTACTTACTCCCCCTTACTACCATCTAGCTACCCGCCATGAACTTGGACGAGGCACCTTTTGCCTGCACGATGACAACAGAACTCTCTGCAAAGACAATCGAAAAAAGGAGGCGGCGGAGACGAGCACAAGCCAATACAGAGGCCACGCTGGACTGACCAGAGGAGAGCACGCAGTGTGCAAACAGCTAGAAGGGAGCACACAGTGCCTACTCCTAATAACAGCACACAGGCCCAAACACATAAATGATTGCAATCATTGCCAGCAGCACACAAAACACCATTATGGCGCAACTGATGACATCACCATCATCAGCAGAACAAACACACTGCCATGACACTGCCAGGTACCATTTAGAAGGAAAAAAATCTGCATGCTTACCCTCCTCCTGTGGAAGCTCTGCAAGGATGGATTGAAGGCAACACCAACAAAACGAAACACAAGAGCATGTGTCAACAATTGAGACTTGCTTGTCTTATCAGTTGTGCAACTAACACAAGTTTTGACAAAGTTCGATCAGGTTCGATGTCATAAGTTTTGACTAACACTTAGCTTGGACACCCCTCCTCGTTCGGCAACAGCATCATGTTTCTCCTCTTTGTACTTCAGCTATGGAAACGAAATTTGTAGTGTACCGCGCCCCTTTGCATCTGCCTTCTCTGAAAAGTGGTCATGTAACCCTGTGCCCCAGGGCTCTGTTATGCGAGCCGTGTTGATGGAAAGCTGGAGACCTAACAAGCAATGCAGACAAGACAACCCCCATAGCTGATTTGCGCTCACAGTTAAAGGCGGCTTCTGTAAAGAGTCTCAGTCATTGAGTGAGTTCCTTCCCAATAAAGAGTTTTCTGCAACTTCAGTATCCTTTTCATCATCAGTTTAAAAGTGTAGTCCAGAGGTGAAGGATCCGAGTTTGACCATTGTTGAACCCCATCCAGAGGACGAAAACTAGCTGAGAACTTGAGACACAATAATGTCATCCAAGAGCATTGGCAAGTGTCTGCCATCTGCTACCCATAAGCACAAGAAGTCCAAAAGTAATTGCCCTGTGTAGAAGTGGATGAGAGCCTTCAATCCATTGCATACCAAAAGTCGGTGGTAGACACTATTTGTGTTGCCTCATCAGAGCCTTAAAGAGCATATCTAATCTAGAAAAACAAGTACACAAACACAATGACAAAAGTATTCTCACAAACGCTGCTCACTAAGCTAACTTGAAATATGGCCCTGGATACGCTTACAATCGCAAACCTTCTCCCTTAAAAACACAGAATATGGGTTCACAGTTGAGATCAGACAGAACAGTGCCAAAGCAAGATGCATGCCCCTTCGCTAAAATTGCTACCCTTTTCCCTTTCCATTTCTGCATTTCTTCTTCCTGGGTATCAATGCTCTGTGTGTGTCGGGTACCAGTCATGGCAACCAGCAGGACTTTCGACCGGAATGCAGACAGTCTGGCTGTCTGGGTATGGGTCCAGTGTCTGGTCCGGTAGGTCTGATGTACTACGCTGCCAGGACGTTTTTCGGGTCCGAGACCGCCCCCAAAAAATGCCTTCCGTATTTTTGGGCCGTTTCAAGGCCTATCGGACGCCGCCAGACGCCTCCAACAGCTCCCTCTGGTGTTGTACTACGCTGGTAGTTCATCGGATGAGGACGAGTCTGATTCCAAAAATGAAGCGCTGGCTGCAAATCGCCGCAGAAAATCAAGAGAGAGAGAGAGAGAGAGAGAGAGAGAGAGAGAGAGAGAGAGAGAGAGAGAGAGAGAGAGAGAGAGATGATTTTGGTCAGATCTTAGATCCTGTCTTTGATCTGGTCCTGACCAGATCTCAGATCTGTTCTTAGTACTTCTTACACAGATCTGAATAACTTATCAGTTTAAATTTTCAATTTTCATAAGAATAATGAATAATGAATATGAATTAGAAAGTCTAACCTTTTTTTCTTTTTCTTTTAATAAAACACTCCGTCTATTGGTGGGGAGCTGCACCTGCTGGAAAACGGGTCCAGCATCCCATATGAACAATGAAAATTAATATCAGACTTGTGTGACCATAGGATGAGGTCGAACCTCCTCACCCTTCAAACGGCACCAGATCTAACAAACTTTTCTAGTCCAGACTTGCCTTTAATCCAAGCCCACTTTTCTGTAGCATTCTATAACAACACATTACCATTCTTCCACTGTTCCTCAGTCATAGCCAAACCAAGATCCGGGTACCATGGACAACGCAGGATTGGTCGGGTTTCCGGTTTTCGTACTCTTTTCTGAAGTGACTTGGGATTGTTCTGTTGAGAACTGGTTTCAACTTTCTAGTGTTGTGTGAGCCTTTGTGAATGGATGCGTGACAGTATTGACTTTATTGAGCTGTCGAGTTGTGAATAGTGAGAGACAGTAAGCTGTGGTTAGTAACTTAGTACAGCTTATTACTGATGTTTTTGTTTTTGTTTTTTTTTGTATCTGATGTACCGGTCCGGACGGTCCAGGTCCGGTCCTGTCCGGTTGTCCAGTGCCTGTACGGATTACTGGACGTCTGGACCAGTCCAGACAAATGTCTGGGCCTCGGTCCAGACATGTCCGGTTCCGGTCCACGGTTGCCATGGTATCAATGCTCTATGTGTCTCTTTCGCACATGTTCGCTAAAGACAGCTTTATAAAAGAAGGGATGTGCGTGCTATGTGTGTGTGTTTCAGACTGTCACCACAACAACCGCTTTCCCACGATGATGAGTAGATGAAAAATCAAAGCAGCCTTACCTTACCATCTTCTATCAAGTTATATGCTGGGCTACTTGGGATGCGCAGCCGTGCAGCCCGGACCTGGCATCCGGGCAAGTTACCCAGGGGAGGTCTGACGCCCGGGGCACCCAGCATGGGAATAAGTGGGTGGTTTTATTTTTAATTTTAATTTTTTGCAGTAGGTTTTCTGCACATTCCCAGAGGAGCCCCCGGCCAGGCACACAGGCATGTATCCGGGCACAGGTTGGATGCCCGGGCGCCCGGAAAACAGCCTATGTTATGGACTCCGCCAGGGCTCGATCCCTGGTCTATCTTTTTGCTGTTTCGGCTGCATCCCGTTTTCAGCCTGGCACCCTTTTTCCAAACCCCTCCTTTGGTACCGTAGGATTTTGGACAACTGGCGCCATGCTGCAATTCGGGCGCCACTTTCAAATACTGCATTTTCAGTTCTGCCCTCCGGGCCTTTTCAGAAATGCCCCTGGTACCGTACGTGTCACCGGTACTTATACCGGCTCCCCGTACGGTACGGGGACCAGTCTCGTACCAGTTTCTGCTGCAGTACTCGTATCAGTGTGACTTGTTGTTTCCGCATTCGGAATCCAAGACTTCGACTTTGTGCTTTGCCACTGTGTCTGTGTCCGACCCTCAGTCCGAGTCAGTCGTGTCGAGTGAGTGAGTGTTTGTGTGTGCTCTCACTCTCTCCCTCTCTCTCTCCACTCCATCGGCTCCCCTCAGCCTCACGCCCGTCACACTGGTATCGGAGCGGTTCGAATCCGCCCGACCCACCCTGCTTGGTCGCCATCGCCTGGCCATCATCAGCATCATCGTCGTGATCATCGTCGCAGTGCCACGTCATCGTCGCAATTGTCGCCGTCGTGCCACGTCATCACCATCATCGTCGCGATCGTCGTCGCCGTGCCACGTCATCATCATTGTGATCATCGTCTGCATGCCACGTCACCATCGCCGTGCCCGTCGTCCTCGTCGCCACGCCGTGCCATCCTTGTCATCGTCGTTGCTACCCCGCGCAGATAAGTAATCGACGACGAAAAAAAAAAAAAATCTTATTATTTTCTTCCTCTTCGATTCTTCTTCTTCTCCTTTTCATCTTGGTCTTCTTCTTTTCATCATCTTCTTCTTCTTCCTCCTCTTCTTCTTTTTTTTTTATCTTCTTCTTCTTACATAATAAGAAAGATGGTGTTCGCCGGCGGGTAAGCACGTAGATGGCGAGCCTAGGCCGAACAGAGATGGGCTGCACAGAGGTCTCATTGCTGATATGGCTCGGCTTCCGAACCATACGTGAGACTTTCGCCTCATATGGCTCTTCTCAGAATCTATATTGATATTTGCTCTTTCCTTGTCGCGACCCCGCTCCCGCTCCTGGCCAGCGCGCCTGTTACACTGGTCCCCCTTCCCCGCGCGATCCCGACTTCCGCCCCCGCGGACTTCCCCCCCGACGCACCTCCCTCCTTCTCCCCGCCCCCGATCCCACCCCCAATCCCGATCCTGCCCCCGCATTCAACCTCACTCCCGCGCCCGTTCCTGCTACCAATCCCACCCCCGCACTCAACCTCACTCCCGCGCCCGTTCCTGCTACCAATCCCTACCCCGCCCTGCGCCAATCCCAACCTCGACCTCCCTCCCCAACTCCTTCCTCACTCCCCGATCCTATCCCCCCGATCCCGACCCCGTCCCTGCTTCCCCCACCTTCCTCCCCCAGCGCGATCCCCC